AAATGCGGAGTACATGTCCGATTGAGCTCAAATTTATAGCAGAGATAGAACATCGAAAAAGAAAATCGATGTATTTTTGCCCAGAATTTTCTGACGTGTTCTTCTATGGGTTTTCTAGAAAACTCTGCTTTTCATCCAGTCACGTTACGACCCCTCGAAAAAATGGTCCGATCGAGCTCAAATTTTTACCACAGATACTTTAGGCCCTATCTCAGGTTCGTTTTTTTTTTTTCAAAAAATATGGTTTCCTTCTCGAGATATCCCAAAAATGCTGAAAGTCACGCATTGCTCTGATGCAGAGACCGGTTGGTCTTAAAACGTTAGCAAAATAAAAATAAAACTAGAATTAAATTTACGAGTAAAAAGTATGTGTTTTATCTTGACAGATAACATTCTACTTTCATCCTAACTATCACAATATGATGCGATTGAAGCTTACGTAAAGAAATGTCTCAGTTATTTGACGAAAGAAATTTAACTATTTCGAGAGAAAATAAAGGCTAAACTTCAATACCGTGATGGACTATCTCGAAAAAACTATTAGTTGTACTTAATTAATTGATTAGTTCAACATACCAAGATATTCCATTAGTTGTGCTACATCAATCTGATCTAATGCAAGATGAGCTTTTGTTCTTTTCTTTAATTCAATTATGGTAACAATATTGAACGGTAAATACTTTGATTCATCATGAACATCATCTGGAAAAATGGATATATCCGGTCGTTTTTTTTGAAATGTTGCAGAAAATATTGGAACCGAGCAACTTTGTGTATATTCAGTATTGTCTTTGGTGTCCTTCAACGCTCGAACTAATTTTTTTCCGGTGTCTATTTCTCTTGCTGTTTCATCTTGTCGGATGTTTTCGATTTCTTGAATAAAATCTGCTGGTGCTTCACTAACATCAAATTCGAGAAACTCATTTATGTTTAAGCATTGACTTTGTTTTAATAAACTAGCGTAATAAGCCCGTGTTGCTGAACATTCAGGAATGTTTTGTTCATCTAAAAAGTTTTCTAAACATATCAAACCCAAAATCAATTAAGCTACTTCCATTAGAACGACTTTCGCCAGGCGTCTGTCAAAAAATCTTACAACATTCAGAGGTTGTTCTTTCATGAAAACTAACTCATTATCGATAAATGTCGTTTATCCATCCCAAAATATGAGCCCACTAGTTGCTTTTTGAATATTCAAAGATGATAAATTTAAAAGATAGAGACTTGTGGTTTCGGCAGTCGAAAGAAGACAGTTTAATAAATAGTTTTACAAGCAGAAACGTTTTTTCAGATGTTCTTTGCAAAACCAGTTTCTAACTCAAACATTTTACATAGCAATCTATCGATTTTTTCCATACATAGATAGTTCAAAGTGTCTTCTGCAAAATGAGCTTTAAACAAAAGTTTCATTTTGCTTCGGGACTTTTATATTCTTCCGAGTAAAAATCTATACTAGTTGAAATAACCGATTTTTAACTATACAGTAAATAAAGCATATCTTGATACCCTGAAGTAGCTCGGATAAATTTTGACTGAGTGATAAACTTTTTAATTTTTGATGAAAATAGCCAAAAATGGGTTATTTTACCTAGTATAGATTTTCACTCGGTTCTTGCATTTTGTTCTGTAGACTAACACTGCTACAAGATTCAGCGTAACTGGC